AGAGTGATGCGTGTGGGATATCCAGGGTGATCCAGTGTATGTGGACAGTGAGATGTTTGGGCGCTGAAGTCGCCATAGCCAATTGAGAGTGAACTCGTATCTGAAAGCCATACATCTGAGTTTTGAGTGGGCGCATTTCGCCAGTATGCTGCGTTGCTGTTTACATGCATGAAAAGTGTGTTTGAGAACGAGTCTGATTGCACTAGGGTCAGGTGAAGAGGGTGTGAGACAGGTCTAACCCGAAGCCGGGCAAAGGCCCAAGTAGCATGGTTGGAATGGAATAGTTAAGGGAAGCTGAAGCTGGTTGCCAGCAGGTGATGCTCCCCAGCAATTAGACCAGACCGCCCGACGATAAGCCTGCTAGAAGAGGCTGCTCATACCCACCCCTCTAGCAGACTCCAACCGGCTTGCAAAAAAAAAAAAAAAAAAAGGAAGACTAAGCATTAGTTGAAAGCATCAGAGTGAAGAGTTCAGATATGATCAAGTACGGATACTGACCTGTTCTGGGATGATGTCGAGCACACGGGTATATCCGTCCGATCCCCTCCCTCCAGCTTGCTCAGCGAGATAGCTCATCGGCGCACATTCGTACAGCAGGCGCAGTTTGCCGTTTGTGCTCTTTGCATCGCGGGGATAACCATAAATGCCGCCGTACAGGAGTGTTCGGTGAAAATCGCCAACCAAACTTCCAATGTAGCGAGCGGAGTAGGGCTTTCCATTGTCTCCTGGCTTCTTCAAATCGCTAATGTATGTCTTCAGCTTGTCATCCCACATCTCATAGTTTCCCTCGTTGAAGGAGTAAATCTGTCCCTTCGGGGGAACTTTGATACCGTCATGCGTTAGCACAAACTCCCCAAGCGAAGGGTCCAGTGTAAACCCATACACACCGTTGCCGACACTTAGGACGAAGATGATGGAGGACGAGTACATACAATATCCTGCGGCCAGCAGGTTGGTTCCAGGCTGACAAACTTCGACGACGCAATTTTGAGCCTCACTATCCAGCTCCTGCTGTTCACAACCGCCATCATAGTTCACCCAAAAGCAAAACACGCACACACCTACATATACATACACATACACATACATACACATACATACACATACACATACATACACATACATACAAATACACATGCACACACACAAACATGCTCCCACATACACATACATGTACAGAGTCACACACACAAACAGACACACGCACATGCACATACATAGCATACATAGACACATATATAGACACTCACACACACACACACACACACACACACACACACACACACAT